CCCCCTTCCTAGCCTGTGGCCAGGTCAGGTAAAGGGTGGAAGGCCACTGGGGGTTACCAGTGGAGTTTCCCTCCTTCACCCAGCCTCGGCCTACCCCCTACTTCCCCCGTGGCGTCTATTGTATTCTGAGAATCATGTGTTGAGAGTTCAGATCAATGTCATGAAATGAAATACCTCTCTTCTGTTGGAAAACGGGTCCAGCGTCCCTTAAAAGAACTTTCCAGAAACCAATTATTAATGGAAATGACGCCAAAGTGCTGGAAACTGGGTCCAGCGTCCTTGGCGCAATGAAAAATGGTAAGAAACGCAGTTCCTGCTGGAGACCGGGTCCGGCGTCCCATACATCATTACGATGAAACGAGGAAAAGGGGAATAATCGAAACGACCTCCAGTGTGCTGCTCAGGTCCTTGGGAACGGTACCACCAGAGACAAAGGGTGAGGGGGAAAAGGGTCTGCGAAGTCCTGAGCAGGCTGCAGCGGGATGGTAGGATTAATCTTTGTCCATTCGTGAAAGTGAAGCTGATAATCCCTTGTTACTTCTGCCTGCTGTCCCCTCTGCATTCCTTCCTCCATCTGATGATGAGTCTGCCCGTCCTCTGCCCAAGTTACCCTTGCAACCCATCCTTCCCTCCTCCCGCCCAACCAATCATCGCAGAACTGCGAGATAACCCTGTCAATATCCCTGTTGGTGTGCAGCTGACTTAGATTTTCCTTAACCACACCGGAAAAATTTTCCGGAATTAAATAATCATTCTATAGTAAAATTACAATCTAAATTTCAAATTTTCATTCCATCTTAAAAAATGTCATTCCAATTTTAAAATTTTTCATCTTACTTGCAAACTTTCATTCCAATAATAGGGTGTCCCTTCTTATTTCGACTGCATGCTAGAGATGGAATGAAAGTCTGGATGAGTTCATAAAATGTTTTAATTGGACTGTAATTCTAAGTAAGGATTTCCAGTCATAAATAGGTTAATCCAATCTAAATTATACGATATTTGTTGTAGTGGAATAAAAATTTAATTAAAACATTTCATAAACTCGTCCAGACTTCCATTCCATCTTGAACTAATAAATGTAGTTGGAAGGGGAATATCATATTTAGATGGAAACTTATCAAATAAAACTGAAAATTTTACAATTTGACGAACATTGGAATGATAATTTATAAATAGGAAGGATTTTTTTTTATGGAATGTTTTTTCAACTTGCATTTCTCGTAGGAATTTTTTTGTTGCACAGTCCACTGGGCCGTAATCTCGTGTTGAACCAAAAGTCTTAGTTGCTTCGTGGCTTCCGCCTCTTCTACCTCCGCTCCCTCTATTTCCAGGATACATCTTCTCCACCATATAACCCATAGGACAACCCACCTTCCCAGGCAGAACATGTTCTCTTTGAATGTATTCCCTTGGATCTGGGGAAAGTGTCCCCGAAGTATAGCCCTCCATTCCCATGGCCAAGTCGAGCCCGGTATCATGTGTCGCCAAATCCTGTCCCACCACCTCCACAGTAGGACAACCGTGGGACACTGAACGAAGACGTGCTCTATCGTCTCGGAGCATTTTTTACTGGGTAGCCCTGGAAACATCTGTGGCACCGAGGCAGTGCTCGCCCCTCCAGCTCCAAATGGAAGTGATCTATTAGCCAATCGTTAGTTGGTAGGCACCGGTGTGCAATCTTTTTTTTTTCTTCTTTTTTTAATACCGGGCCCGGTGCCTTAGGCTGATATTACCAATAATAAGATTAAGGTCGGGGTCCTCACAGTCTGTCCGGAGTAATCGAACCGAAACAGCTGAGAACCAGGCTCAGCGTCCCTCAAATGGTTATGATGATGACCATGATGATACTGGTGATACCATAGATAATGATGCTAATGAGAGTAATGATTCAAATATATAAAAAAATATAGAAGATTATGCTATATCAGCTATTCTGGCCTCCTAATCCTGGTACAAATCCTAGCCCTCCCTGTACCAGGACACTGTACGTCAGAGACAAAACCAACCTAGCCAACATCAACCATAGCTGATCTCTTCTCGCTTCCTTGCAACCCCCCCCGGTTCACCACTGGAATGCCTTCCACCCTCAGCAAACCCCAGATCTCTCTACAAGGCCTCCCACTCCTGCCATTTACAAGTTACAGGGTAACGCCCCAGCTCCGGCCAGCGTCGTTCTGGCATCGGCAAACCAAGGGCACAGAACAGAGCAACTCAGTAGATATCAGTCCAGGTTCAACCATCTCTAAAGTCCTATATCCCGAATGTGGAAGAATGCTAGATGCTGCCAAAATTTCAGAACACCAAAAAGCTTAATATAACAATAATCAGATGATAATATTAATGATGTGATGATGATGATAATGATGATGATGATGAATATGATGATTGGCAGATGAAAATATAGAAGACTATGTTATAACAGCACTTCTAGCCTCCTAATCTTCGAAACCTCCCAACCCTCCCTGAACCCGGACATTACATCTCAGAGACAATACCCTCCTAACCAATGTCTACCATAGCTGACCTGTTCTCGCCACCTAGACTATCCCTGGCCCCATAGGCTGTCAAGGCAGCCCCCCCGGTTCGCCACTGGATTGCCTTCCTCCCTCGGCAAATCCCCAGATCTCTCTAGAAGGCCTCACACTCCTGCCAATTGCAGGTTACAGGGCAACGCCCGTTCTGGCATCGCCAAACCAGGGGCAAAGCCATTGTAGGGCGGAGATCTTTGCCGGCCTCTTTCCATAATTCGCGAACCACCTTATGGGTTTTAGCAAGCCGCGATCCACGTTGAGATGGCGATACCATCTATCCTCTATAATATCTCGCAGCCTGCGTCGGAGCATTCGGTATACTGACTTAGATTTTAAGTCAGCAAGCGTTAATGACCGTGCCCTTCCCCCCCTTACCTGAATTTCCAGAGCTCCTGGATCCTGTTCTCATCTTATTTACAATCTGCAATGGGACGCTGGACCCGTTTTCCATCAGGTGATGCTCCCCACCAATGGATGGAGCCCCTCCCCGGGTGCTAGTGGTGTCTGCTCTTATCAGCACGTCTAGCATTGCAGGGGGGTGTTTTTGTTGGGCCCTACTGTTCACCACACATTCGTGACCGGAGGACTCCTTGTACATTGGGAATTGGCCATATGGTTTGAGTGGAAAGGCGCCTCATATAGGTTAGGAGTACTGATTCAGTCTAATGTCTGTGTTTTGGGTTTTGACGGGCAGGGGGCTCCTGCCACGTGTCAGGGGAGGGGAGGAGCCGCGCTCTGTAGACTAAGGGTACTGGTTGGATGGTGCCCATGGGCAGTCAATCCCCATGCACGAGGGCAATCGATGCGGTCCTCCTTCTATGATTACGACTCAATTTCGGCTCCTGCTTTGTAAAATGGGACGCTGGACCCGGTTTCCAGCAGGTGCAGCTTCCCGCCAATAGATTGGAGCCATCTTCTACAGGGGTCCTATTAGTTGGGGATGCTCCTATCACCTCCACTAATAGGCCTCACTTGGATGT